TATTATTATTATTATTATTATTATTATTATTATTATTATTATTATTATTATTATTATTATTCATTGGCGTATAGGCCATTACTGACCACGTTACTCGATGAACGTGTGAAATTTTTCCAGGATCAGCTGTATCTCTCAGTACGACAAGGTTGTTACGTCTTGAAGTGTGAATTATGAGGTGATAGGATGATGATGGTGGGTGAAGGGACAATCACAAATACGACCATATCTACGTAGAACTTGAACCTGCAGCAACGGGGCACACTTAATAATAATAATAATAATAATAATAATAATAATAATAATAATAATAATAATAATAATAATATTGTCGTGAATTGGCCTTTCTATAGACCATGTGAACGTGCAGTTATACCTACCAAGGCCCAGTCATTTTTTCCTAGGGATATGCACGTGAAACATTATTAGGAAGGATCAGAATTTCAGCTGAGCTTATTTTTACGCCCCATCCCGTGAGGTATGGAAGATGAAATGATTATTGTGAGAGGTGAGAGGGCGGCACACACACCTACAGACAAACACAAACACCCATGCCCGAAGCAAGACTCGAACCCGCGATCTTCTGGTCCGAGACCGCTACGGCACTACTGCCTTAACGATCTTTGCCATCTGACCATCATCATCATCATCATCATCATCATCATTATCATTATCATGTTGTTATGGTTTTAATGCACGTGTGTGATCCCTTAGCCGTGAGATTTAGTTTATTCGTATAGCTGTTAGGAAATGGAAAAAAATAAAAATAAAAATTTAAAACAGGAGTACCAAGTAAAGTGTCTTTGACCTTGAAGACTTTGATCGCCACGTCAACAGCTGATCCGCGGTTAATTTCATTAATTTATAGTTCCACTTGCGGGTCTGTGTTGTTGCTGTATTTTTTTGTTATTTAAGGTCGCATCAACTACTTGGTCATTAGCGACCAATATTGCGTGTAACGGTATGAGAATGACTATGAGAATGACACGATATGATGATAGGGGAGTGAAAGGACGAACACAGTACAACCATGCCCGAGGCGGGACGCGAACCCGTGATCCTTCGGTCCGTGTTGTTGTTTGCCATGTTCTCGTGGAAATAAGACGATTCATTTATTGTCGCACGTTAACAGCCGTTTTGCCAATACGGATACATGAAGATTGTTTATTGTTATTAATTAGTCGATAATTTCCCATTCTGATTGCTCTATACTCAATAGTTTATAGTTAAAATTAAAGACAAACTGATTCTATCATAAAATACTTGAAGGGAGATACGTTTTCGGGCGCAAGAAAAACATTTTCAGAGAATCGAAGTTAAGAGCTTAAGAAAAGAATGTTATAGAAGAACCAGATTGGTTTATTATGTTGCGCTCAATTCAAAGAGAAAATCGGCAATTGCTTTTTGGCAGTTTCTAAAATATATGTAAACTTTGGGTACATTGGGTAAAAAAGGTAAATTTCACTCAAATTTTATTCAAAGAATGTAAGATATAAAATATGGACACATTAAAATCTCATGAAGATCAATTCCGGTAATAAAAAGTTTTGAGCAACATGCAACATGCACTTAGAACATGACGATCATGTTCTAAGAGAGGTGTAGTGGCCTCGTCAAAACGTGACAATTGTAATGGAACGACAACTCAGTCGTACAACTCAGCATGAAATAAATGAACCAAACCATATGATGAACCAATAAATGAACCATACGACCAATGAAATAAACGAACCAAAGGGAAGAATGGCCACACAATTATTTTAAGTGTTACTCATAAATTACAAACAAGTTTGCAATAATATGCGAAAGGGAAAAACACATATTTTACGTGATATGATTTCTAGATGGCTTGGAAACAGCGTTTCAAGGCTAAAGAACGTAGTTCCCGAGATATTCACGATAGTTACGTGTTATGTGAATTGCATGCTTGACTACTGCTTTCTTCGTGGCATAATCTACAAAATTCTTCATTTTTCGTCTTAAATATGCTTTATCTCCCGCAAGGCAATTTTCTATCCAGCAATATAACATTTACGAGCTTTTGTATCCATGATGACTTGTACATCGGTCACAACGTCAAATCTCCGGAGCATATTACAGAACAGAATGGCTCGCCCACGAATTTTTCGTCAAATATCTTCTGAACCGTTGTAGATATTCACATGCGGTTTTCTGTAAAACAATTGCCTTCTAAAGCGCACACAAGAAGCTGTATATACAAATATTATACTGCATAATATTCTACAATCGTTAAACGTTTTCTTCTGTTGTACTTAAAAACATGCATATTCACCTACAACGCATATCAACATTTTTGGGAGATGTGAAGTTTTTATTACGGACTCCACGGCGCCTTAAATCAACAGTCATCGCGAGTAAGCCAAGGTGACACTGTGGGGCCGTTCAGTTCCACAGCGTTTGCCCTGCACAGTGACTGCGATGCAACGACGGGTTGCAGGACGGCAGTGAAGTGGTATTCTAAAAGATTTGAAAGAAATACTTAGTTCTTAACCCTTAACAAAGGTGAAAAATAATGAGAGCAGGATACGCAGTGAATTAACAGACGAAATGCCTAAATGACAATCAGTAACAACAGCAACAACAACAACAACAATAATAATAATAATAATAATAATAATAATAATAATAATAATAATAATAATAAAATAATAATAACAATTATAGGAATAAGTATTACATGCATGAAAAAGGATTTGCAAAGCGTTATGTTTTGTTAGCAATAAACTAACAAAATCCTTCAAAAATCTTGCTAGAACCTCAAGAGAAACCTTCTGAAATTATTCACGATTCCAAGCGAATATGACTTGTATTAAGCTTTTAATGTATTATTTTTCTAGTTCTCCAGTGTACTACACGGAATAATAAAATGAAACGTCATTTAAAGTTGTCTCCAATGCCCAACTTACAATGATTAAGTTACTACATACATTTGTATTTGTTGGCACAGTATCTCGATGCATATTTTTACATCACGTTTGCAACTTCTTGCTTCACAGAACAATAGGTTATTACAAAAACTCATCCTATTCTAAGCAGAAGCCTGAAGCACACTAATAAAATAAACGAATAATTCTTAAAGTAGCAGTAGCCGTATATTGGCATTTCTTTCGCAAGCAGCTGGGACGGGACGGAGTTTCGAAGGTCTGTGACCTAATTCACGAGTCCAGTGGGCTACAGGCTACAGGCGTGGAGGGAGGTCATCTACGCTAGGTCACAATATTTCCCCGTAGAGACGCAAACGTGCAATTTCAATGCACTTTCAAAACACCTTTTCCGATTTCTCTAATCGCTGGCGTAATTTGCATTTGAAAAAAATGAAACTGGTGTGAAGGTAAATATTCAAATTGATTTTTATTTCTTCCAGTGCCGTGAACAGTTTTCTCGGAGGATCTCAATACATTTGGCCGGCATTAATTTTGATTTTACAGAGCAATAAATATTTACGACAGTTTTGAGGGGAAGGGGGATCTGCTAGAGCAATGCTTAATACTCGTAAGAGAATTTGGGGAGAGTTACAAACATTTTTAAGTGCGTCTATACGTTTCACTTGACTAGTCTGTTACGAGTGACACTATAATTACGCACCAGTATTTTTTGTCAGCATTAACAGGTAGCGCCTTATTTCACAAGTAATACGCATTTATCTACAATGATAAGAAGCAGTAGTTTTGATACCAGAATTTTGCAAGGAGCCGTTAAGCACTTTTTAAATTCTTGAAATTATGTAACGACTAAATAAATGTGTTAGTCCAAACTGAAGCATAAATATATGTAATACACATTTTGTAAAGTACAGTTCAAAGATCTATTTTTATTTTTAAGATATTAGAGTATTACTTTTTAATTCATACCGCATTAAATACCTCGGACAGATAAGCTTGGGGAATCAAATTTTAACGCCGGCCTCTAGGACTGTTTTTGCGCCTTAGCAGGACAAACCCTCCAAAATTTGACTGAGACGTTTGCTTGTTGGTGGAGGCGAATGATTTCTCGATACGTTCAAAGCCAAATAAATCAAATTGATTTGCTATAGTCTAAAAGCATCGACATTGGAATGCTGACGAACTTAATCACTTACTTTCAGTTAAGTTTTGTGGTTTTGTGTACGTATTCCTTCTCTAATACCGGACCGCGCTCAAACAGTGTTTGGATCGTCTTTTGAATACTTTTGTGTGCAATTTCTCTTAAATCTGAGTGAAAAGACTGTTTAAATATGTTTTAGAAATATATACCCATTTTCCTACGTTTCGGCAGATTTTTCAAGAACCATTGATACTGCGGGTAATATTGATAAGATTAAATATATTAAGTTTTCAGATGTGAAGGAAAAATATATTACGTATGTGAAAGATGCAAAAACATGTTGAATGAGTGTCTAATGAGAATTTCATTGGGAGAAAACGCACTCAAGGCCACTGCTGGCTAAGTCGGCTGCTTCCCCTTGAGCGCCAAGCTATACCAGTGTAAGGAGCTTCAACCTGCGCCTTGTGGTCGGGCGGTATTTGGATCACCTTTTAAATACATTGGAGTGACATTTGTGTCGACAAATTCAATAGCCCAAGCCACCCACTATAGTGTAGCATCAATCAACTACTTTCTAACCCGCATTAAAATCAATGTACGTTAGAAACATTCCTAAATATTTTTCACCCAACAACTAAAATAGTATGTGATTTTTTGCATAGGAAAAACTATTTAAAATTATATTACTTCACAGAATAGTTAAAGAATGTTTACTTTGCCTTTTATCACAAATATAATAACATTCAACTTTTACATATTTTATTATATTTTAGAGAAGTCCACATCTTACAGAATATTTGTTTTAATTGATCACACCTTGTTTCACGTACTCGTACTACATGACTGACAAAGTGGACTGGAGATAAGCGTCTGTCCCTGCGATCGACCCAGGAATCGACTTGGTGGGCAGTGGAGTACAAGCTACGGCTCGTTTGTTGCTCGCGTGAACACATGGTCGTGACAAAAAAACGACAATAAAAAAGCAGATAATGGGCTATACCCTAACGAAAAGCGGGGGTCGTGATCACGAGTCATGCGAGCTCCCATCGCGAGAAAAGCCCCGGGACACGCGGATTACTCGCCGATCGGGACAGAGAAGAATCGCAGATACGAAGAGTTCTTAAATTGTTTTTGTTGAACGGATTTGATTTAACAAAAAAATATCATCGCCGATGCGGATAGCCGAGATTTCTAAGGCAGTGGTGCCATGGCGATCTCGGGCGGAAGGATCGCGGGTTCTAGTCCCGCCTCCGGCATGGGTGTGCTGGTGATAACCTTTCCGTTTTCCTTACGTGTCGGGTTTCGTTAGTGCAAAGGAAAAAAGAACAATCAACGTGGTTGCCACATATCCCGGTAGTTTATAAGCGACCTAAAATGTAAAACAATATCATTAATATTGTATAATATTATATTTTGTATTATTGTTTTGTAGTGTAATGTCTGCTGCAATTGCCAGTAATCAATCACGGTAAATCCAAGCTACTGGTTGCTACAGCATCCTCACCAGGCAGATCATGTCACGTGCCTCGCGCGTGCGTACTCTACCAGTCTACGCTACAACAGCATGTTATTATGTTCATGGTTTATATGTTTCTATTTCAGCACTACTGTATCAATCCATATTCCACACTAACTCATATTATTTACCATGAGCAATCAACACATGTTTTTAACTGCCATTGTCTATTCACTGTAATGTTTAAATATTACCGCAACTGACACAGTCTTCAACTGTAAATGTCTTCGACTGTTACAATGTCTCAATGTCAACTGCAACTCACACAATTTTCAACTGTAGATACCCACGGATATTAAATTTATTCAACTTTTCTAACATTAGTGTAATTATTATATTAATTAATTTTATACCTTTCTTAGTCTTAATAATATGCTTTTCTTCTAATCACTACATGCCTCCTGAATTCTGCCAAAGTAATAGTGACTCCCTCCGTAGATTTGCAGGGAATTTGCAGGGAAAGCATTCATGCCACATTAAACACAGTGGTCCTCCGAATTCTATCATAGATATCACGGTAAGGGTGGAAAAGGCTGGCTGATCCAACCATCTTAACAGTCCACGTACCTCCTCAGTCAGGCTCTCACATAGCTGAACATACCATTTCCAGTTAGTGATAGGTTCAGTTGGATCAGCACCCCGTCCATTCCAAGTAAAAGCATCCCACACCATTATGGAGCCAACACCAGCTTGCACAGTGCTTTGTTGACAACTTGGGTCCATGGCTTACGTGGGGTGTTTGCCACACATGAGCTCTTACCGATTGAAATCTGAACTCATCTGACCGTCACAGTTTTCCAGTCGTGTAAGCTCCAATAGATAGGGTCAAGAACCAGGAGAGTCGCTGCAGGCGATGTCGTGCTGTTAGCAAAGGCTCTCGTGTCGATCTTCTGCTGCCATAGGCCATTAAAAAACAACTTTTTCAACACTGTTCTAATGGATAAGTTCGTCGTGCGTCCCCCATTGATGTCTGCTGTTATTTCACGCAGTGTTGCTTGTCTGTTAGCACCAACAACTCTACGCAACCACCGCTGCTGTCAATCATTAAGTGATGACCGCCGGTCACTGCATTGTTTGTGATTAGATTTTGCTTAGCATTAAGAATTCTAGGCACACTTTATATTGTAGGAAAATAAAAATCAACAAAAATAAATCAGTCCATATAACCTTTACCCTGAGAAAAAAACAAATGCCCTACTGTCCACATCAACAACAATTCAATAGTACAGATGGAAAGTGTAAAATACTTGGGAATACATCTAGACAAACGGATAACATGGAAGCATCACATCTTAGCAAAAAAACACCTACAACTTCAAATAAGAAAACTATACTGGATACTAGGATACCACTCAAAACTATCACTGGAAAACAAACTGTATTTATAAAGCTATCATAACCCCAATATGGACCTACGGCATTCAGATCTGGGGGACAGCAAGCAAGAGTAATCATTTGATCATCCAGAGATTTCAATCCAAGACCCTAAGAATGATCGCGGCAGCACCATGGTTCATCACAAATGCATCATTGCACAATGACTTAAAAATGCCCACTGTCTTGGAAAGAATAGAATTTATCAGCTCAAACTATCTCCAGCGCCTTGAAAACCATCCAAACCACCTAGCCCTCAACATCTGGACAATAGTGCAGATATCCATCGACTAACCAGAACCTCACCCTACAACTCCCATATAGATTCTCGACAAATAACTGAAACATTACCCTCAGCTAATAAACTATCCCACTTGCAGCCAACCTAAAATAATACTTGCTTTTTGTTATAGTATGAAGAAGTAGATGAAGAGCACCGATGGGATACCTTCACTGGAAATCATTGTCATAACAATTCTACAACATCATATTTACTTATTATTTTGTAAAAAAAATAGATTGTAAATTTTTGTTATAAATAAAAAAATTTATATTGTAGATCTATGAATATTGAATTTGCTTACTATTACCGAAATATAATGTCCTATGCGTCTAACTCCAACTTCTATTCCACCTTCAAAGTCTGTTAATTCATGTCATGCGGCCATAATCATGTCAGAAACTTTTTCACATGAATCACTTGAGCACAAATGAACGCTCTGCCAAAGCATTACCCTTGTATACTTTATGTATGCGATATTACTGCCATCAGTATATTTGCATAGTACTATCTCATGATTTTTGTCACCTTAGTGTAGGTAGCAATTGCTAGAATTTTGAATAACAGTGGGTTTATTTTGGCAAGATCCAGGTTTTCGCAAATTTACGGTAGTGAATATAGTGTTGGTGGTGTGGAATCATGAAAGAATAATATATCACGGTATATTTGAATGGGTGAAAATCAGAACGGTGTAAGTAACATTTTATTAATTCTGAAAAATCTGTTTAAGTCCATACCACCTGGTGGTTTGTTTCATCACTAAAACCACGAAAATACATTCCAACTGAAATATAGCCTGAAATATACACGTCTTTCTCAGTATTTATAAAATATCACATATGTTGTTCTAGTTTCCACCCATTCATTTGTTCTCATATTTTAGTACTTACGCAGTGACTGTATTTGAAATGCATTAGTTCGATTCGTTTTGTAGATACGAAATAGATTCGTGTTGTGGTAAGATATTGTGAACAGTTCCAGTAATATTCATTACTACCTTTAAAACAAACAGTTAACTGTGAGTTTCATGATAAGGAACGCCTATCTTCAGAAATAATTTCAAAGCATCTTTAAATGCTTTGGATAGGGTTGCAAGGTGTCCACTATTTGAACGGACAGTTCACATTTTTCATTTTACGTTCACTATTATGATCACTATACATTAAACTCGGTTCTCCGAAAAAAATATTAATCATACTCCCTTGTTTCACAAGACTTTTAATAAAACCACACAAAATTATTAATTTATATAATATTACTATTTTTCTTAACTCGTATTTACACATTATTTTTATATTTCTCAACGTAGTACTGATATTTTTTTAAAAACTTAAAAAAAAGAATTAATCAAAGCTGAGTAGACTAATAAAAATACACATCACAGCAATGTAAAATTTAATTTACTATTTTATGTATTATTATAATATATTTGACGTATTTAATACTAAGTAGGTTTCAAGTGATTATTTGAATGTGTAAACTCTCTACCCGCTTGTCTTTTTTTCGTTTAAGCAGACCTGGCAACCCTAGCTAGGGATAGAGATATAAGATATGTAGCAGATGAAGCGAACTGAACAATTTGGTAAGCCACCATGCTACCATTAGGGACAACAACGTGTTCCTCACTAAATTGAACATGTAAATGATTACGTAGGATAAGATACATTTAATTAAACTGCAAGTGGCTCTTACCCGGTGGCAATTAATTCATAAAAAAAGTAAAATAGTTTCATGCAAATAATATAATACTAATGGTCATAATAATAATTACCAATATATAAAAACTGACAGTACAAATTATGTTTCACACACACTTTTGCACAAAATATTCATGTTTCCGAAAAATTGTACATGAGATTATTTTAGATCTGTCCTTAATGAATATATTTCATTAAGAAAAATGTTTATCTTCAATTGTTGTCGTAAGGAGGCGTCAGGAAAATGTTGAATATTTTCAAATTTCGGAAAATAGGGTTTCAATGAACATGAGACTTGCACTATTCTCTTACACGTCCTTCGCACTCTCCAACAACAAAATGTTATTAAAAACGATGATGCACGTTTTGAGAAAAAATCAATTTAATTAAATATTACATATATTTCACACATAATTATTCAAAAAATACTAAAGTTTTCGAAAAAGGGTATATGATCTTATTTTCAAATCTATCTTTAAGGAACAGATTTTATGAAAGGAAAAAATCTATATCTTCATAATTGTAGTTTTAAAAAGATTCTGACAAAATTTTGATTTTTGAAATTTTGGAAAAACTGGGAAGTAAACGAAAATGAGAGTTGATGTGAAAATGACACACAATTCTCTTAAACGTTCTTTCCACGGTCTAATAACAGAATTTAACCAAAAACAATGGAGCCAATTTTTGGAAAATTTTGAAAATGTTTCAGGAGTTTCATGTAAAGTACCCTTACAATTAATGTATCTTTTTCAAATTCAGTAGGCCGTAACATCAGCCAAATCGATTGGGGATACAAAATTTGGAGAAAATCGGTCGAACAGTTTAGCCGCAAGAATTGTGCACAAACAGACAGACGGACAGACGTTCTGCAGTCATGCAATTTTTCGGTATCCACAACTCACGAAACATTGATTCTGGCAACCGCGTGTTAGAGGATTTTTTTCTAAATTTATCAACTCGATCTATAATTTTTTTTTGTTACCCGGGTCCAACAATAAGAGTTTTTCTTCCGAAAATTCGCCGCTTTTTACGGAACTATCTCTTCTTAAGAAGAAAATGTCCCAGGGGCTTCTTGTGAAGTATCACCAAAATAGCAGAGCTTCGAGTGAAACTAAATTGACAGTCTTTATTCAGTTTGGAAAACAATCGTACGCTTAGTTTAAACGCTGGTGTTCTTCACAGACGACAACGGACAGTCGGATGGACGGACGAAGGTAACAGTGTCCAGTCTTGGAATCACAGCTATTTGGCGTATTTGGTTTAATACGACCATAAAATGCCAATTACCTACATTCAGTATTTAATTAATATTAGTCGTTATTTATACGTTTAGTATTATGTACGTAAATGTACATAGTATTGCGAAAAAATCACGTGCGTAGAATAATTTAATAATTCCTAATATCAAAACCTAAAAATAAAAACGAGTAGGAAAAGATATGGATATCATTCCTATGAACTAGATGCATTTCGAGTATCCGTGTATTTCCAAATCACTGATCACACTCATAACCTCGTTTCAGAAGTTGTCGGTCCTGAGAAGTTGTCATGAAAGTCGCTGTTTTTGCATTTGTTGGGTCCACGCTGCCCCAAATATACCT